GGGGGGGAAGAACTACACTTTCTACGGGCAAATGTCTACATGCATTTTGACCCAGAATTTGATCTAAGTTATTTTACATTTCTTATGGTACGTTAACCTAGTGGATACAGAATAGGTCCATTTTATTAGAAGAAGTACCTCCTTAAGAAAATGTTGACTTCAGGTAATGCTATCCAGGTTGTTCTGGTTCTGGATGTTATTCTGTTCAAAGTCTGACTTTTTTACGTCATTGAGCAATTCTTCATTGAATAGTGAGTCATGTATGACTGTTTTCATGATCTTGGGTCAATATGCCTTCAATGTAATTGATTCCATTGTCAATGACGAGTATCTTTAATATGCAATATACAATTAATATACGGATTCTACTTGCTACAGGCAGTGATTTTTATTTGCGTTTTATCAGTGGAAACATAAGATTGTGAACAAAGGGAAAGATGCTCTTGTAAGAGTGACAAAAAGCTGAAATTTTGAGTTATTCATTTCTTCGTTTAAAGTTACGTTTATAAATCCGATCGTCACAGATAAACATTTGTTCTTTACTTATTTTTTTGGGAATAGCCGAGCAACAATGATCTCTATTTCCAAAGAAAGCAGTAAAAGTGTCGGGGTACCCACCATCGTTATGAATTTACTAATGAGCAGCTAAGCAACATTAGGGCGCGTTAATATTTGTGATATCCAAAATTAATAAGTCAAGCCTTTTCTTTTCCCATACGGAATTCAAGAAATCGTCAGCAAACAGTGAATATATCAAAAGCATTGTCCCTCCTATAGAATGACGACTATGCGAGAAGAATGGGCAGTGTGTTCCAAGAAACGGGGACTTCTTTCATTCCAGTGCGAGATTAACTCCTGAAAAGAAGACATAAAAAATCCTTCTTACTAACCGGGGCATTCATGAAGGAAAACGTTAGATCTAAAAAGAATAATCTATTTATTAGTGAAAAAATAACGCTGCAGTTGCAAATATCACAGCAGTATTAAAAAACTTATTATTATTGATAAAAATTAACATATTAAAATCTTTACCTCACACCCTCACGGCAGTGACAACTGGGACGTGAGCACAGAACTCTGCGACAGTGGCGCCCATCTGCGGCAGAACTTGTTCTTTTTTCAGTGGTGGCCAAACGACACGGAAATGCTTCAAGATCTCGTTCACTGCGTTCTCGTTATTCTAAAAAGAAACAGAGTGATAAAACGGCGAATGGAATGAAAAATGAGTTGTGATATAAAAGTACAGCTTACTGGATGAAAATAAGGAAAACGAGAAAAGACAAAGAAAGAAAAAACATTTCAATTCATCCAAAACAATTTATTTTGGATAAATCATTGGTCATTATGTTTGCTTTGTAAACTACTGGTTTGTAAAAGAAAAATGGATAATGAAAAAATGTTATTACCACTGAAAGACTTAGTATATTCCATAAGTACCGCGCATTCTAATTTTCTCACAAAGACCAGAAAAAATTGATAAGTTTGTTAAAAAGCGGCGACTCTGATAACAGGGTCGGTTGACAGAAATTACCATATAATAATAATAATAATAAATTGATGAGATATTTTTTCAAAATTAGAATTAGCCGTGCTTGTTAGCCAACTTAACAATTTTCAGTTGAACACGTCCTTACTACTAGTTCCTACCTTGAGCTCTTGTCGTATTTCCCCAAACTCTCTGTGACTGGATAACTTAGCACAGTAACACAACAACTCTATGCCGTCACGGGCCGTCACTGTCAGCTGGGGAACAGAATATATCCGTAATGATAATCCACTTATTAAACCATATTTATATCAGATACTTGTCACTTTTTATTGTGTCGTCGGTTAGAGGAAACTTAAATCTCTCTCTCTCTTATTTATTTATTTATTTATTTATTTATTTATTTATTTTGTAAATAGAAACTTAATATAAAAAGTTGGGGTATATAAATATGTGGAATCTATGTAAGTTTCATGTAATTTGAGCAACACCGAGTTTTCGTTTTTATGTGTAACTAAGGCTACCTGTACTTACACGCTTAGAGTCAAAGAGAACTTTGATCTTGTCACTGACGACAACAATCTCTTGCCCCACGGATAAGGAGGGCAGATTTTCCTCTTTCCACGAATCAGGATTCTGAAAACGTCAAGTTTAGAGATAAAAAAGAAAGAGAAAGACAGACAGAGAGTCGTGACAGCAAGTAGTAATAGAACTGGTTACGAGTGTGCGCCGTTGAATTTAATAATACCAGTTAAGCAAAAACACTAAAACCACAAGAGAGGTTTGTTTATTCTGAAAGTAAAAGTAAACTTGCTTGACTTCTTTATTAACATGATATGGTTGATGAAGAAGTAACAAAAAACTCATTTTATAAAACAAAATTAAGAAAATTTTGACGGTAAGTATAACTAAGAAGATTTTTTAATGGCAATAATTCTAAAAGGCAATTCCAAACGACGAAAACAATATCACTTTTCGAAAATAACAATAATTAATTTACTAATTAATTAATTAAATGGGGAATTATCAATTTTGCGCACTTACTTCAGGCTCCGGGACAGAGGCCGCGGAGGCCATAACCACGACAGTCAGCAGAAGGCCGAGACGGAACATGACTTCCCTCCTGTAAAGATCGCTCCCTATGTTCAACACTTAGAAAGTCTGCGTCTTCTTGTACTCTTAACTTCTCACCGGCTATTTTTCTTCTCCAGTGTGCAAACCCAGTGAGTCAACATTTCATTGAATGTTATCGACTTGATTGAGTATTTAAGTGGGAGAAAATTTATTCTGGCGTCTTTTTTTCACACATTTCTTTTTGTTCGTTTTAAATCAAGTCCTGATAAGGAGGTTTCTAATGCATTAATAAAAAATTTGTCTTTTCCGTCGTTGGTGCGGCTGGTGCAGCGCCAAATAAATTACGAAGTCTATGTAGTCTACTCTTTTGAATTCTCAAATTTAGTATGACAAGTCTGCGATATGAGCTGAAGACTCTTTTCATGTATCGCTTTTTTGTGCATGTAATTTTTTTACCTAATTTCGAAGCATATGACCTTATTTTGACCAGGGTCTCATTTCCCTATCGTGTTGCTTTTTAAGTCGTTTCCAATCGCAAAAATATCCAACAAGCAGCATGTATAGGCTGCCCTTACAAATCGCACTAATAATGATTTAATATCTTCCAAAAGTGCCGAAAGAAAACCGTAAGTGGGGTTATTTGAAATATTGACCCGCCAGATTGATGGCAGACCTCTATCTTTTCTTTCTTTGGAAGAGTGTTCATTTATATAGGCCTACTTTTCATCTTGGTCTTCTCTATCGCAATTTCTTCACAAGACACAATCTAGCTGACGTTCTAGTATACATTCGCAACGGGTTTGACTGTTCTCTACCAGGGTCACAGCTAGATATTTGTTTGGACATTTACACTGTGCATTTTCTGTACTGTAGTTGGCGACAATTTCTGTAAAAAAAAAAAAAAAAAACGTCCTCGCCCGACTGTCCTGTGCATTTTCCTGTTCTGTATACAGTGACAATTGCTGTAAAAAAAAAAAAAAAAAACGTCCTCGCCCAGCTGTCTTCTGGTCTAAAAAAGGTTTTACTCCTGTCTGCCACAGGCAGGTTGGGTGATGACGTACATGTTGGGCAGAATTTCTCGCTGAACGCAGTTCAGTTATGAACATATTAACTGCTGGAAATTTGAAATCAAATTTTTTCTCGTGGAAAAATTCTTTGTGACCCTGGAAGGGGTTTACTGGAAGGAACTCGATCTTACGGAGTACGGAGGATGGGTGGCTCTCTCGGCGCAGTCGTTGGGACTGGACTTATTACTTTTCGCATAGAAAAAGATACAGTTAGTTTTAACTGTAAGCCTTTAAAGAAAAGTGATCGATTTGACAACCATGCATTGCTGATCATCATCCCTGAAAGCCTGAATCCTCAAAACTAGAAAATTACTTTCCTTTCACTTCACTAATTAATACTAATGAAGACCGCACTCTCTTTCCTCGGGACCGTAGCCAGGGGGAATTTGGGGGGGGGGGGGGTCGAATGAACCACCCTTTCTGCTGGGAAAAGGTCCACTATGGGTAAAATATTATCTACATACACGAGGATTTTTTAGTGAAAAGTCCACTTTTTCAACAAAACGAACCCCCTTCTGAAATTACTGACTACTCTTCCTTTACAATGGGCACAGACAATTTCTCACTATATATTCAGATATTTTACAGCTATTCTTTTATTCAGAAAAGCATTTATTACGAAAAGTCAACGAATGCTGTTACAGTTACAAAACATTTTGACAAATATCAACATCCACAAAAGCAGGGAAAACATTGTACTAATTCTCTTGAATTTTCTCTGATCTTCTTGAGATTTATATAGTCTTTGTAAAACACACAAGAGCAAGCTGTCACGTAAAAAATTACCTGCAATACAGCAGAAGACTCCATGTAAATAAAGCACATAATATTTACACTTGATTCATTTACTGACGACTGATGGTCCAATCCGTGAAACGTGTGTCTATTATTTCAGTCCATATCGGTCACTCCAGAAGAAGAAATAGAACTATAGGAGGAACATAAATGTGCATTCAGAACATTATCAAAACTTGCAACTGTATACTTCCCACAACACATAAAGATAAACAAAGAAAAAAAAAGACAGTAACTGTTACATAAAACCCATTCAGTAAGGCAGTAAAGTAGTTTTCTTTACTCTCCCTGAATTCTTCATAAATATCATTAAAGAATTTCTTAATCCATAGTCTTTGGTAGCAGTCAATGCTGTCCTCTCTTTCCAAAATTCTTTCCCCCTCCAAACTTTTAACATGATCGTTATCATCCTCACATACAAAATCAGTCCACAGATTTTTATATAATATAACCTAAGATTTATTCTAGCAGCCGATCCTATCGTCCAATCAAAACTCGTCATGTTCAATATTACTAGCAGAGTCCCTACTTGATCCAGAGTTTGGTTTCACAAAGATGCCCTCCATGGCCTGCCACAGGTTGGCGTCTGAGGGGGAATGGTAGGCGCTGACCTCACGCTGGCCGTGGATGGGCCGACCAAATGTGTCCCCGGAGACGTGTAAATAACTGAAAAAATTAATTCAAAACAGTTCACAAAGTTTCTTAAAAGAATTAATGCTATGATAATCATCCTTTGTAAGTAGGCCTCTGGCCCTGTATTGCAAAAGACAAAATGTACAAAATATTGTAATTCAAAACATATACATGAAAATTGTACAACATAGTCAAAGAAAATTAAATTCAGAATTGTCAAAAAATGGCCACAAAATTTTTATGATGATACAATAATTAGCACCTGTAAATATGTCTCTGGCCCTATATTTCAACTGACAATAATCAACAATAATTATGATTTGTTAAATATGTGCATATGAAACTTGTATCTTGGAAACTTAAAAAAAAAAAAATATTTAATACCATAAATTAAATGAAGAAATTATTGTGACATAAGGGGGACTATTTTATGTCTGAGTTCAAGGAAATGGCACTTTCCAGGCTTAAAACTGACCATCATTTACTGATCATATCAAAACTGCCTGAGGTAAAACTTGGAAGGCAATCATGAACTTTAAATGTAAGGTAGGTGCATCTTGATCTCAGAAGAAAGGTAAACATAAAACTTCCTTGTAAAAGTTCAGTAATTATGGAACTGAATTCATAAATCATCCATCTCATGGTAACTTGATACTGACCCTTACTTCAAATTATTTTTTCTTTCTTTCTGTTATCTTTCCTTCTATTTTATTCACATTTTATTTCTAGTTAAATTTTGTCTGATTTTGGACAATGTCTAGATAGAAAATCCAACACTTACTGTTCTGTTACAACATGTTTTAGCCGTACAGGTTCAGTTCTGGACCAATACTTCCCACTACACGTCACTGCCCAGTGGTCACCTATAGATGGACATTATTTTATATTATACAGTAAAACTTGCAAATGTACAGACAGGGGAAAGGACAATGATGAATAGAAATTTTATCTTGTTTTTATTGGAGAACAGTCAAGTACTATCAAAAAGCCTGATGTTAAACCCACTAAGAGAACCATAATTTAATATAATACAGCAAAACTAACACGGGTAAAACAATCCATATCACACAGTAAAAATTAAATGTTTCCAACAACTAATAAACTACAATTATGTATCACACACACACACACACACACACAAAATAATACCATTCCTCCTCTAACAAAATAGTTACAAGCTAGACATATTCTGCTTTGACCATGAGAAATGCAAAAATGAATCTATTCTCATTCCCAATTCTCTTTCACTTGAGAGAACAGTTTCATTAGCTCTGTATGTCTGAATTCAAATTATTGTTTTTCTTTTTATCAAGAGCTTGTAAAATATGCGGGTATTACCTCCAATATTTCTGTGACTGTTACAACACAAGGCCAGTGATTAGGGGCAATTGACCTGGATTTTCATTCCAGGTGAAATGACCCTAGTCATTTACTCCCTGATGATGGTGACTGACAGTCACAGAAATATTGAAGGTAAAACCTACATATTTTATAAGCTCTTGATAAAAAGAAAAGCAATAATTTGAATCTCTTTCACTTGTTTCAAATTTGGATTTTTAAAAACATTTAAATCCAGTTATCAGGCTACAGAATCACATCCTAATTTCCCAGCTACACTCCACTTGTCGTACCTTCGTCACCCTCTCCTCCATCCCCAAATGCACTGACTTCCTGGTTTCTAGACAAAGGAGACTGGAAATGGTGACTATGCAGATTCTTTTGTGTTGTGACGTGTTGCAGTCTGATGGTCTGACCGCATTTTACTGGATTTCTGGAGAAAAAAAATAAAATTGTATAGGGAAATATAAAAAACATCTTTAGGAATTTAATTATAAGTAAGTAACAGTGGGACTGGTTCTCATAAGCATTATCATAAATGAAATTGATACAAGTTGATAAATGCATACCAGAGAGCAATTTTTTTTTTTTTTTTTTTTTTTTTTGTNCAGTTATCACGCTACAGAATCACATCCTAATTTCCCAGCTACACTCCACTTGTCGTACCTTCGTCACCTTCTCCTCCATCCCCAAATGCACTGACTTCCTGGTTTCTAGACAAAGGAGACTGGAAATGGTGACTATGCAGATTCTTCTGTGTTGTGACGTGTTGCAGTCTAATGGTCTGACCGCATTTTACTGGATTTCTGGAGAAAAAAACATAAAATTGTATAGGGAAATATAAAAAACATCTTTAGGAATTTAATTATAAGTAAGTAACAGTGGGACTGGTTCTCATAAGCATTATCATAAATGAAATTGATACAAGTTGATAAATGCATACCAGAGAGCAATTTTTTTTTTTTTTTTTGTCTACTTGCCTAGATGGACATGGAAAGTAGTTCTTATACTTAAGAAAAAAAACTGATGAAAAAAAATAAGATGATTGAATCTGTCTTAATACTCGCCACTTGAAAAAAATACTTGCTGGTAAGTACTCAATGCACCCTCAGGTATTAACACTTTTTCTGACTTTTTTTAGTACACTTACTTTTAAACCAAACACTGAATACTGTTACTTACCCTCTAGTACACTGCCCACCCATCTTAGGCTGAACTTGCCAGTAACTGTTGTGATCATCTGAACTGTCCACTGCAGTCACGGACTGAAATTATTCATTGATATTGCATATACGCATACATATCTAGGCCTACTCTTAGATAATATTTCTCTTGGACAAACTTTTGGATAACTTAAAAATATTTTTTATCAAAGTAAAGTTAGGAAAGTTAGAATAGGCTGATGTAACCAGTGGTCAGGGAGGGTCAGTCTTCAGGGCGGATCCAGAGATTTTTCTGACAGTCTTCCAAATTACCTTTGTTGATTCATCCTCCGATAGCAAAAATGGATACCTGTCAATGTAAACTTGAAAGTCTGACCATCTTCTGGAAGACCCAGAAGATGGCCTAAATCCACCCCTGGTGTTACATACCTTTAATAAAGAGGTGTGTGTGTGTGTGAGAGAGAGAGAGAGAGAGAGAGAGAGAGAGAGAGAGAGAGAGAGATGTACCTGTTGTCCACTTCCAGACCCATATTTTACATCATGAGAATGCAGCCTCACACTTGCTCTTGTATTAAGAAGCTTCAACACTGAACCACATGTCACAAATTCATAGTCAAATTCTGAAATGAAATCAAATATTGTAAAATGTAAGGTCAATGTTGATGTCACTGAAACTGAAAAAATTGGTATTTCCAAAGAGAGTTAATATGCCCAAGTCATAACAATTGCGCGTTGATAATCAGGATGTGTAACAAAAAAAAAAAAAAAAAGAAAAAAAAACTATTAACGAGTACGAATACTCGTACTAGTAATCTATTTAAAAAGTCTAAATGCGTTATTTGCTGTTCACCACCGACATTGTTCTCCTGTTCTCTGACACCAAAATGGCACTTTCACGGGAAGTGCTCATAATTTTCGTTCTAAAAAGTACTGAAAACGACAACGCGACGGTGTCACTTGCACCTACAATCAACTACCCAATGTCTCGGCATGGAGTCCGTTGTGAGACAAAACGATCGAAGACAGTGCCTCTATTCAGATGGCTATATCTATAAGAAAAACCCAGCGGATTATACAAATATCATAAGGAGCGATAAATCAAGGAGGTTACTTACTTGCAGCATCAATGGTATATAGTAAAATGCACAACAGGACGGATACAATCCAGAAATTTGCGAGCTTCCTAAAGCCGGTTGACATGTTGACACGTAAGNTTCTCCTGTTCTCTGACACCAAAATGGCACTTTCACGGGAAGTGCTCATAATTTTCGTTCTAAAAAGTACTGAAAACGACAACGCGACGGTGTCACTTGCACCTACAATCAACTACCCAATGTCTCGGCATGGAGTCCGTTGTGAGACAAAACGATCGAAGACAGTGCCTCTATTCAGATGGCTATATCTATAAGAAAAACCCAGCGGATTATACAAATATCATAAGGAGCGATAAATCAAGGAGGTTACTTACTTGCAGCATCAATGGTATATAGTAAAATGCACAACAGGACGGATACAATCCAGAAATTTGCGAGCTTCCTAAAGCCGGTTGACATGTTGACACGTAAGGTTAAGCATGATACATTTTCAAGCCTCCCTACTGGAAGAGCTCTGTAGATGTCAGCACTAGTACTGTTGTATCCATGAAAACACCGCATCTCAGTAATGTGTCTGCTGTACTGGCCGAGACGTTTACATTTAGTAATTAATGCGCGTTTTGGAGGAGAAATACTCTTTCAAATTTATCTGTTATGTTTCTAAAACTCCCATATATATGATTTCCAGATGGAAATTAAAATAAAAACATT